CACAATAAGTGATATTGGACCTTCGATGGCAAGTCCACTATATGTACTGATATGTAATTCGGTAAAACATGTTAGTTTTACTAAAGAGCAACGTAAAATATATTGGTAATGTTAATAAACTGTAAATATGGTCTACCATAAACATATATGCATTCTTCATTGTTATAGGTAAACTATTTTGGTATACACGTGTTACTTCTTATTGATATGCAAGAAGATAAATCATCCTATATTGAGTAAAAAAACTGTGTACTGCTCTTTTCTGGTAGCTTATAGCAATTCTTGTAAGCAGTACTTAGCATTGAATGGGCTTTAAATGGTAAATGAGTAGACGTATATGGCATTTTATACTTAACCATCAGAGGGCAGGAATAATCCAACTTCAGGGCTTAGCTATTTAATTAATATATAAGATACTACACTCTGCTGATGTCGAATAGTTACTCAACCAAAGATGGAGAGCCTGTTCCCTCACGTGCCTCATAGGGCCGATAAATTCAAGCTCAAGATTCCAACTTGTAAGCGCTCCAGTAGAAAGATTACACAAGATTCCCGGTATGTCAACAATCCTTCAGATTCCAGCGATTCTGTACTTTCCAGTAGTCTCTATATTACACCCATTCCACTCCTTTCCCAATACTTCTTTATGCAAGTCTATATTATAGTTTGTTCCATTCTAGCTTCTTCTATACCACACATATATGCTTCTCGCTATTTCCAGTACCAAATGTATTGCATAAATATCCCCTCAACTTGATGGAGATAATCACCATCTTCTTAACTCTTAATTGAATTTGATATTTGGTTTACTTTTGTTATCTATTCTTTGGCTATATTTGTATTTATACATTCCCTATTCTGGTCTTTGGTCTCTGAAATGTACCGATATATAGCCTCATCAGAGAATGTGGTGGCTAACACATTAAATGAAATAGGGTTCGAAGTCAGTTCAAATCTGGAAATAACCGCTTGCATTTTTTTGATAAAGAAGTCCATTCATTGCTTACTATAAGTACTTTTGTTTATCACCATAACTGTTGGTAAACAATGCTATCTACTTCAGTCTACTTTGGATAAATTAAGATAACCGCCTACCCAAGATATTCAAATACTCATAACCACAAGTCTATGAAACCACTTTGAGGCACAACCCCATCCACAGAATAAGCATGGGGTCAATCAGCCATAATATCATCGTGATCGAGTTTTATTTCTGATATGAAATGCAATTAACTTCAAATAATATAACATGTATTTGGTAGAGTAGCTTTGCCTGAGAGCAGAAAATGGAAATGAGAGAACATAAGAGCTATCATTTTAATCTGAGCAAGATTTGAGTTTAGATTTCAGCTCTGAGTGTATCCACGGAGATGGTTACCTGGCAATTGTTAATCTTGGTAAATAGGTATTTGAGATAGAATAGTTACCTGTATAGAAACAAGTAAAGACTGTTCTTTCTGTGTAAGCCATAATAAGAGATGAATTTGAACAATGTAACCAATAGAGCAAACACCAAGAAGTGTACGGGAAACAATATTGATCTTTAAAAGACATAGACGATAGCCCGAATGTTAAGAAGAGGAACGCCATGGGAAGTGACTAAACACTATGACCTTTCACCATCATGTTTGTAAGCTGTGGATAGGAACATGGTTATTCTTCTTATCCATGACACTAGTTCAGCTCCTTCCAACTAAATGTATCTTTATCCTAAAATAATTCAATCCTAATAATCAGGGCCATCGAACAAGTGGATCAGAGAACAATGGGAGGCTATTGTTGGTTTCATTAGGATATAACACTCTAGCTCTTTACAAATAGATTTGTTGTGATTAGGGGAAAAATACAGAGAAATGACTTTAAAACTTTGGATAGTTTATTAAAAGTTGAAGAACCACAACAAGAACTAGCTAACTCTCGTATTTATATATCTATGCTGCTTATTGTCATGGATACGTCTTGGTTGACATGGTGATTATGATTATTCATAGATGGATAGCAACAACGGGATGAGGTCGGTGTTCTTTGTAGACATGTGGATCTCTTGGATGTTGAATGCGAGATAGCCTATGCGTGATAGAGATGGATCGGGATACTCGTGCATTGCATTGTCAGATTCTGAAAGTTCATACGATATTATCTGAGTTAAGTAAGTAAGTACAATGGGAACAATAGAATATATATGCAGGATAGCTAGTGCCTATTCAAGTTTCATTATATGACAATGAACTTTTTATATTAATAATGATCAATTATGCTCAAGTGAATGTAATAGTTTTGGATATGTGTACTACTTGACCAATGCTTCTTTGAAGGGTTCTATATTGAATCTCCTTTACAATAGATAGCTTTAAGCCTGTATTTACTACAAGACTTGACATTTTAGCCCGTCTTCTAACCTCTCGGCCTTAATAAGCAGATCAGGATAAGATCTCTATAGTTACAGACTTCAGCCTTATTTTATCTAGACAATCATAGAATAGCATATTTACCAATAGCATATTTTTTTTTTACTCAATTTTTCGGTTTGTAGAGGAGTTGACTCCATTTTTATTCAAGGTCTGTTTCTTTTTATTACTAAAGAATATAGGTAAGTAATAAGCATAAACGCTGTTATTATAAATAAGAAGATGGAACCTTTTCGAGGCCTTCATTGTGTCTCACCACACTGATGAGTGACTATATTTGTTCAGTCAAGTAATCGTTACCACTTGATCTTAGAGTAGATACTTGTGTCTCTTCAATTCTTGATAGGATAAATATTATGGAAAGAGAAACAAGGAAAGTAAATACAGAAAATAAATAATGCTTGGCACGTTAGTGTTACTCAGCCATTTGGCTTAGAACACTGCATGTGCTACTGTATGCTCTGTTGCTAGGCTTGAAGCATATTCTGTGTTACTGTATAATGTTCTCTTATATATCTCCACTCCAGCTACAATCTTCCCTTTTTTCTTCATGAATACTCTACCTACTGAAATAATCGATTGCCTTTCGAAGTTCCTCGAGAAGAAGGACATAATTAACTGTTTAACTGTGAACAAGCACTGTTATTCAATCTTCATCAAGTACATATACAAAGAAATTTCTATTGGATGGACTCACACACTAGATCAATTCATGGATGCTTTTGCTTGTTCTCCTCGGATGAAGGAAGCTGGGAAATACGTTCAGAAGTTTTCGTCAATCAGCGAAGGCACATTTAATGATTATACACTGGAGTATCGAGAAGAGGAGTTCCTTGATATACTGGTGCACCTTCCCAATATTGAAGAGTTCACAATATGCCCAACATATTCCCTTCTTGAACTACTGACTGAAACTACAAAGCCTATTTTTCCCAATGTAAAAGTACTCAATCTGAATGTTATGCGTGTTCATCACCTTGTAAATCTCATGGATTGTTTTTACCGATTCAGATCAACTCTGACCACCATCTCTAATTACTATGCAGATTACCTTCCTTATGACGCTTCTTCGAATAAGCTGGTGACATATTTTGGTGCATTTCCCCAATTGAGTAGTATTACCATCGGCTCATTCGATAATCCAGTACCGGATAATCTCATTTTTACAGACATCCTTGAAGTCTGCCCTGTTTTAACCCACTTGAAATTCGTCTGTTCAGCCATTAATATCAATGATCTTTGTGCGCAAAAGTCATTTCCGCAGTTGAAGCATCTTGAATTGGGAACTGACCAACTGAGTCTTGACACTGCTCGCTCCCTAAACAATTTTTGTCCACAATTAAAGAGCTTGAAGTTGAAAGTAAGTAACGTGGATCAACAGGGTATGGCAGATATACTATCACAAACAAAGTCAATCGACAAATTGGTTATCACCTCAACTGAATATAGTAATTTGGACATAATTAATGACTTTGTACGTGTACAAAACAATCGGTCTAAAGAAAGGCATGAATCTGTGATAAATATAGCCATATTTGGATCAATTTCCATTAGAACACCCAGTTTGAAACTCTCGGCAGAGTATAATCCACACACAAACATAAAAACTATAACAGTACATGTAGTTGTATATAGAGTCTTTGATCTCCGCTACCTTTCATTTCTGGAGATAGTAGGATCAACCCTGAATAAACTGGAATGTCATTCATGTGAGCTTGATCTACAGCGTATCAATCAAGAGTGTCCTTTGCTTTCTGAGTTGGTGTTGCGGTCGCAAATCGTTACGACCAAAACAAGTGAACAGCCAGTGATCAACAAGCATCTTACTCGTGTTACAATTGATGATATCTATCCCACATACTCAAAATTCAAAGAAATAGTTGAATGCTGTCCCAACATACAGCACTTATATTTGTCAAATTTTAACGAGCCTGATAAAGAAATTGCTGTTATGGATCAAGATGGAGTTTACTATATTGAGATACCTGTCACTTCATTGAAAATCAATATATCTAAAGAAGGCCATGGAGAAAAAAATATCGCTGTTGTGAAAGCACTGGACGGTGTGTGGATCAAATCATGGCGTTATTGCAGTCAGATTCGGGGAATGGTTGTTACTGAAGATCCACTCACAATAAGTGATATTGGACCTTCGATGGCAAGTCCACTATATGTACTGATATGTAATTCGGTAAAACATGTTAGATTTACTAAAGAGCAACGTAAAATATATTGGTAATGTTAATAAACTGTAAATATGGTCTACTATAAACATATATGCATTCTTCATTGCTATAGGTAAACTCTTTCGGTATACACGTGTTACTTCTTATTGATATGCAAGGAGATAAATCATCCTACACTGACGCAAAAAAACTACATACATATACTGCTTTTGTAGGTTATAACAATTCTTGTGAGTAGTATTTGTCATTGAAATATTAATGGGTCAGATGTACATGGCCGTTTAAAGTGCATTTTATACCCAGCCATCAAAGGGCAAAATGTACTGCGGAAATAATCCAACTAAGCTGATTTTATTGCGTATTCAGGGCTTATCTATTTGAATACAAGATACAACATTCATCAGAAGGTTTCTTAGTGTAGTGGTCAACACATAAATGGAATTTTTCAATGAAAGACGTCAGTTCGAATCTGGCAGAAACCGCTTACTTTTCTTTTTTTTACTACCTCTTCCTTTATCACTTCATTGAACATTTATATTACTCGTTTTTTCTACTTACTGGTTATTGAAGTCTAGTTTTTTAATTAAAATTCCCCGTGGGGTTAAGCAATTTGAATATCATATGAGTGATCAATATTATAACCATGAAGCTTGTATCTTACTGCTTCATATATTGTAACAAATGTTACAGAGCAATAAATACGTACCGCCTATTAATGCTCTATCTTTTGAGTGTAACGTAACAATGAATCTTTATTCTGTCAATATCAACAACAGTATCATGCTTGTCTCTATAAACTGACCATACCCGATCTACATTCGGCATCAAGAGTCACTTAATATACTTCTTCCTTGATAAGAGGTTTCAAAGAACACTATAAATATACTTTTAATAGTTGCACAGAAAAGATATATGGCCAGTTCCCTTATATGCCCTAACACAATAAAAAAGAAAGAAGACACTACTATCCAATGGTGATACATACGAAACAATATAGGTTATCAATGGTTATAATGGGATTTATTACTGATAAATCAAAAAGATGCTGATATGTATATAATAAGAGTAAAGGGAGATATTTAAGTGATTTAAGCACCAGTATTAGTAGGATCTACTCCACGATAAGCATGGCTATCCATAATATCAGTATAATGGCCCACTGTAGCAGGATGTTTTTCACTACGCATAGGATCACGGTCAAAACCTCTTGGATTATCTAGTGGTTCAGGCTTTTCACTGATAATTTGTTCGCCCTTGTTGTGTAAGTTCTTCTTGAATAGACTGTTGAAGTTGACCTTGGTGATCTTCATGATAGATGTTTGTTAGTAAGAATAAAGAACATACAAAAGATAAGAAGGGAACTCCAGTTTATATACTGTTTCGGTCACCCCATTGTTAATACTACAGATCAAATCGGCTTGATCTTTATACTGGGGGAGATAGGAAAATATCCTAAACAGCTGATGCTGTAGCGGGAAACATAGGCTCGGCTGAAGGTTAAGGAACGATCATTGTGGGCTGTGGAATTAAGTTGCTTCTGTTCGAAGTGGGTGAACTGATTGATAATATTAGAGAAATTATCAGATAATCTTATGATAAAGTGTTGTTCCAGAAAACATTGGAGAGGAGTGTGATCATCAGCAAAATGTAGTGGTGTGTTTAGGGTAATCTGAGATGGAATTGTTTCATTTCTGTAAAAAAGTGGGAATAATCAAGCATCCACTGGATACATTCAACTATATCTTCTTAGCTGTGGATGCAGGTTAGATAGCCTGGCCAAATATTAATAGTTTTATTTATGTGTGATAGATATCATTTAATCAGACAATCACTTTGAAATATGAACCATGGCTAAATGCGAATGATGGTCCAGTGCCTGTCTATCTGTCCTCTGTAATATGTGGAATACAATGTAGTATGATTATTTGTCAAATAACATATGATGAATAGTGATAACACTAATATTTGAAATGAGTCTCTGGTTACTTATATACATATTGAATACAGAATTCATAAATCGTTGTTTCATGGATTAGATTTTGGATGAATAACTTTTTCTCTAGGTAGGAGTAAACTATTTGAGTGGATCAGCAGTCTTTGGATACATCAAAGGCTTCTGATTATGATTACACACTCATAAAAATGAGTAGCAAGATAACAGGGATATGTCATGGTATAGGAATATCAAAATGGACATCTGTCACACATTATCAATTCTATTCAAACTCATTTCACAGCACATACTATGTTTTCTGCTTTCATAACTCATGAGCTGACTGGCCTGAATTAGATATTTTATAACTAGCACTGAATATGACGACTATACTCATTAACTATATCTGATATCTCACAAGATTGTCAGGGTAAACCATACTGAGTTTGTCCTTCACTCTAATTATTAGATCTACTCACCATAATAATCTCCTCAATCCTTTGCCCTTCAAGTGGTAGATAACCAGCAGTATTGTAGAAGTAGACATTTTATATCCGATACAGTTCAAGGAGTTGATGAACTCTAATGATGTTGATCGGCAACATGTGTACATTACATCATGACATTCATCACTAATTTAATTGATCTTCCTTCGTACCCTTTCAACCTCTTATCCTCTAGACATTACTTGGTACCTGTATAATTTTCTTTATCACTCATCGTCCTATATTGCAACTGTCTCATTGTTTGTATTTAGGTTTAATGTACATCCATATCCTATATGGTCAAAATAGAAACCTAATTCATAACTATCATAATAAGAATCCTGTTTACACTAATATATGACATCCTTAGATATAAGACGTTTGATATAATTGCTAGCGTGTACATATTAATTAATGATGATATTACTCTTGGTATTTATACCATGAATATCACTAAGTTACCCAGTATATAATAATAGCAGATTTATTCCATTCAACACAGAAGACGACCATATGCTGTATATCTATATATTTTTCTTTCAATAAGCCTCTCATATTTCATTCACTCAACATCTTGAAGGCCATATCCCACACCTTTTTAGTGGGAAATATATCATACATCTGTATAAAACTATCCATTAGTAGAATATCATCATCTAAATGTTTCTTTATTCATAGAGATATAATTCAAATGACATGGCTTTTTAGATGCCCATTCCATATAAACCATCTACTTGCCTGTTCTTCTCAACAGGATATTACATTCTACTTCTTGCGCATTTCATTGCCTTCTTTTAAAATATTGTAATCATATCATCTAAGAAAGAAATGTATAAATCGAATACAGTATATGGGTGTTTATTCTTCCCTATGCAATTAGGTTCGTGTGTATGGATAGACATGCATGGTAAAAAAGTGTCTCTTTGTAGTTCATGAAGATAATCCGTCCAAGGGTACACATGCATGGAGTGAAGGAGGATAATAGCAATTGATCTGATATTATTTATCCGATAATTCTTGAGTTTATAATATGATATCACTGTTTACATAAGGAAGCAAATAGAAAAAAAGCACATATGACTTCACCTTCCGTGAAAGTCTAAAAGTTGTTTAGAGTGCATGAACTTTAATATACTCCGCGGATATTGTTGAGAATATATATAAAAGAGTGCTAGAATTGAAACTTCAGGAACTGAGATTGAATATTATTATCCAAGGCCCAGATCGCACTTGAGTAGAATCACATGGCACTTAGAATAGAATCTAGAATAGAGTAACATAGAATAGTATAATAACAGGTTCAGGTAAAAAGCATATGTGATTGTTTATAATGACTGGAGTGGGTTGAATTGTGGAGAACGCATGAAAAGTGTCCTAATCTGGAACATATGGAATCAATGTGGAGATCATGTGAAGGTTGATCCAGTGACGACCAGAACACTGCAGGCAGAGCTGTCAAGAGAGGCAGTAAAATTAATATAAATACCCATCTAATGACAGAAGGATTTTATCTTCATCTTATTTCTTGTTATAAAACATACTCAATAAACTATACACAGTTTTAACAGTATCTAACTTTCTATTCTACCTTATATTCCAAACAGATATCACCACTTCATAAAGAATACATGATAAATAACAATATCCTTGGTAATCACACGGAGGCATGCCATAGAATAGAAGTAAGATATCTTTCATACAGCAAAGTGAGGGAAATGGGTAATGAAAGTACGGAATAAAGACTGAAGATGGTGATTACGAACTATAAAAATGCCTACATGGTCAAGTGAGATGAACATAAATGATATAACATTGATTGATGCAGTGTATTTAATTAATATCCTATATGCATAGGTAATCACTTGATAAGTAATATACCCATTTACATAAACTTATTTAATTCCAGTTCCTCCCTTTCTAAACAAAATAGGAGTAAACAGCTAATAAGCGGTGTATGCATAACAAACGAAACACTTTATCCTGTTCATATCACTTTATAAATACATATTTACACCTACTCAATATCCCCAATCTATCTTCATATAAACTATCAATTCAGGATACATATATATTGTAGGATATTATTATCCAAATTCACACCACTACGAGATAAATAGACAAAATTTAATGCAGCTTGTCGATCAATCATTCCCTAATAAGCATCTGATTTCAAACAAAATACTGTGTACACTAGATTGATCAAATTCTCTTGTTTCCACAACCAGTCTGCCATCTAGAGTGCTCTTCCTAAAATGACCACCAAAAACGATAATGTAACCACCTTTACTTCCCCTATCTATCCAGTATAAACAAAATTCTCCTTGCTCCTAATACTATTAATAGGAGACACTAAAACCATTTCCTCCGATACTTCCCAAATAAAGAATGTTGTATAAACAATGCATATTCTATCCAGTCCTAATAACCACTCATATGAATGTAGTACATGCCATTCCAGATACACTCCTTCCACTTCTCATAAGGACAATACATATTTGGAAGTGAATTCTATGATGAAAGGATTCGATTCAATGACTGTTTCCTTTCTTCCAATCAAATAATTTAGAGAAAAGTGTATAAAATCTGTTTTTTATCATCTTCTCCAGTTTTCCTTTTTCTTTTCTTCTTCATCTTCAAATACAATTTTCTCCATACTGTTACAATGCCAAAATATAATACCAACAGTCGATATACATTTATAGCAATATATTTCCGTAATGCATAGACACACATACACTACATCAAGCCAACCATGATATAGCATGTCTCCCTCGGTACTTTAAGTCATCACCACATCAAGTCACCCTCACCACATCAAGCCACCCTCACCACATCAAGTCACCATCACCACATCAAGTCACCCTCAGTACATCAAGTCACCATCACCACATCAAGTCACCATCACCACATCAAGTCACCATCACCACATCAAGTCACCCTCAGTACATCAAGCAATCCATGATACATCAACTCACCTACAGTCCACAACACGGCAACGTTTTACCCCACAATATAACAACCAATCACAATCACTGAATATCACAAAGCATGGCACACATCAAGTTCACATTCATGCAGCATCATAATAAAAATTAGCCCAGAAAAAAAAAAAAAAAAAATTAGCCTAGAAAAAAAAAAAAAATTAGCCTAGAAAAAAAAAAAAAAAAAAAAAATAGCTTAGAAACAAAATAAATAATCAATATCACAAGAAGTACATGTCCATCCTCCAAAGCCAAGTCAAGTCATTTCAGGTCATATTAAGTAAAATCACCTCACTTCAAATCATATCATCCATCATCGCACCTCACCATCTCAAGTCAAGTCGACTCAACTTCTAGTTTTCAGCATTCAGTTCAACATAAGTTCAACATCCAGTTGAATATTTATTCAGTATCCAGTACATTATCCGGGTCAACATCCAGCCCAACGTCCAGCTCAATATCGAGTTCAGTATCCGGTTCAACATCCAGTTCAGTACCCAGTTCAACATCCAGTTAGTATCCAGTTCAACATCCAGTTCAGTATCCAGTTCAACATCCAGCTCAATATCGAGTTCAGTATCTAGTTCAGTATCCGGGTCAGCATCCAGCTCAGTATCGAGTTGAACATCCAGTTAGTATCCGGGTCAGCATCCAGCTCAGTATCGAGTTGAACATCCAGTTAGTATCCAGTTCAACATCCAGTTCAGTACCCAGTTCAACATCCAGTTAGTATCCAGTTCAACATCCAGTTCAGTATCCAGTTCAACATCCAGCTCAACGTCCAGCTCAATATCGAGTTCAGTATCCAGTTCAACATTCAGTTCAGTATCCGGGTCAACATCCAGTTCAATATCTAGTTCAACATTCTGTTCAGTATCCAGCTCAGTACCGAGTTCAGTATTCAGTTCAACATTCACTTCAGTATCCTGTTCAACACCCAGTTCCCCATCCATTACAACCTTTCATGTCTTCACTTCTTATCATCTTAGGTCATCATCTCCTTACTGGTTATTCAAGTTGCTTTCTGATGTTATCATCCCATGTCACGTTATGCCATGATCAGTGCACCTTTCTCATAAGGATCAACGTCAACCTTTTATGCTATCTTTTGAAATTGTCTTTTGAGTCTTTTTTTTCAGCTTGTCTTCTGACATCAACTTATGTATTTCTCGTTACTCAAAGATCTTGAAATGGATCTATTTAAGTTGATTTGAGTATCGAAAAAAAATTCTTTATGGTTTTAATTGGCCACTGTCTTCTCTTCCACCGAGCCTTTTTTGAAAGTATGCCTTCTCAATGCTTAAGATAGTATTGCATTCAAGCTCATCGGCATGTCTTAAATCATTTAGTAACCTATGCTCTTTACCTTCATTTAAGATACGTTTTTCCTTTTATTTAATGCGATGTTCGATATGTTTCTCAAGTCAATGATTCCAATAAATAATATGCAACTCTCTTGAGTACACCATAATCTACACAAAAAGAAGGTGAGGTTAATTCCCCTTGAAGATTGTTATTTTCCCATGATTATTTCCAAATGAGTTTTTACTTGAGCATTGTGACTGAGGAGGTGTACTTCAACATTGGTGCATTTATCAATCAGCATTAACTTCTTTATGCCAATTGACTGCCACTTACTTCATTCGGTCACTTGTAATACGCATATCAATTGAAGCTCATTATCTAAACCCTGACAGAATTCTCATCAGCAGTTTCATAGTGTAGAGGCCAGCAAATTACTGAATCTATTCAGGTAAAAGAGTCTGTTCAAACCTGGCAGAAACTACTAATTTTTTATGTCTCTAAGCCATAACCATTATGTACTTGTCTGTATTATAAAAATCCATTTCATTCTTTGCTATTCTACTTCTATGATACCAAGCTGAGTATCTAACTTGGACCTATGCATACAGTATTGTACTTAAAATAAATCCACGCTCCTCTGCTCTATTCAGGATGTGTCTAGGCATAAATAGAGAATGTAAAACTACTGCGGTCCATCATGTACAACGCAAATAAAATAAAAGTGGTCTCTTAGTGCAGTGGTGAGCACATCATTTAATCCAATTTACTGAAAACGCCAGTTCGACTCTGGCAGAGACCATAATACCTTTTCATTTTCTCTAATGAACAAATAATCCTATTTTAAATCCTTGCACAGTCTAATCACTTTTTATTTTCAATCAAATGGAAGAGGTCTGGGTGCTTCCTTTAATGCAGCTGCAGCAATAGCACTTGGTACAGGAATTCCACAACAGTCTGGGTATTCTTTTTCGATTGTTTCCTGATGAACATGTCCGCAATCACTCTCCATTGAATCATGGTAGACCATTCCACCTTCAAAGTGAATCAAACTTCCAAAGAAGAAGTGCTGCATAATAGGCAATTTGCCTAATACCTCTGCCTTGTACATTTTGATCATCCCCTGGTTCACTTTCACCCATGATTTACAGGCTGAAATATCATCTAACATAGGTGAATGCCAGCGTAAAGAAGCAGTTGTTTTGACAGTGTTTATGAAATGAATACATGCCAAGTACATATAAGAAGAAGAAAATTGCTCTACTGTGTCTGGATCATGAATAGATTTCGGTTTAATGTATTTGTGATCTAAATAAATTACAATGTGTAAGAATAGAGAGAGAGAATAGAGATGTTTCTTTGTTTTACCTAATAATTGTGCTGATCCAAACAAGAATGGCAGAAAGTGGTAGTCATCTAATCCCCACACACCATGTGATCCAGCTGGTTCCAACCAATACTTGAACTGTAATTCACGCATCAATTTGATATATTTCACAAACACACAAAGTACAACTGTCTTGTCATCCTCGGGTGTCAAAACATGGAGTTTATCTAAACACAGTCTATATTCACAAATATCAACATTATCTCCTCAAAAACTTATGAATCCATTAAAGCTACTTACAACCAAGCCATGAAGTTAGCTTCGTGTCCAGTTCCATAATCAATACGCTTCTGGTTGCCAAAACTCTCGACGAGATATTTGCTTACTTCTTCTATAGAAGATGCAGGCACAAATCCCTTCAATAGACTATCGACATTCTAACAAATAGGTTAACAAATGGCTTATCTCTTTACTTGTATTATCTCTCAATTTACTTCCTGGACTCTATCATAGAATGTGCGGAATGCAGGGTTACCAAACCGACTGAGTGAGTTTTCTACAGCTGGTATCTCATTCACCCAATTCATCAGTGTATCCAATAGAGTCAATACCGACTGTACATTCTATATTTACAAATATTCAAGTTATAAATTCGAACAAGTAATTAAGAGTCTATTTCTTTACTTTGGATACAGGCATCTGTCTCTCTATTTTACAATTCTTCACTGCCTCATTCAATCTCTCAATATAGCCAATATATTCCTCATAAGCAGTCGAATGTAAGAACTCATTCAGGTGTTCTTTAGTGTAAATACGCTTCACTGGCACAGTCATTTCTTTGTTTATTTTGGAAGGGAATAAAAAGAACTTTCAAACATTTCATTGTCCGTGAATATATTTTCTTTTCCCTTTTTTTTCATGCGGCAAATTAATGTGAGTGGAAGAAATACATAAAAATTTTTTTTTTCTCTCTTCCCTTTCTTTGCCCTACAATGAGTCCTTTCACTTCTGAGAAGATTGCTAAATCACTCAAAGGAGCTGGTCTTTCTGCTAAAGAAAGAATAGATATTGCTTATGAAGCATGGAAAGACACTTCTTTGTTCTTCCCCAATAAAGAAGATTTCTTATTTGACTGGATTACAACAGCATTCAACAAGGCCAATATGAAGAAGTAAAAAGAAAAAGCAAGTCAATGTGTCCATTCCCACTCATTTCTTTTCTATAGGGCCGATGATTGTTGTATACTGCAGTTACCTTATTGGACATTATTGAAGGAGTTACTCATTGTACATCAGAACCACTCACCTATTCTGCATGTTCAGTTTGTACAAGTATTAGCGAATTTATTCCAGGTAGATCATGTTCAATTGGATTTATTAAAGGCAGTAGAGGAGTGCAGTCAGTTGATATTCTCGGATAAGTTCATCTATCGACCTTCACTCGATCCATTGTTCGTGACAGTAGATAGATTATGGATTGTATTGAATCAACAGTTAGATAAAATGGATCATGATATGTTACATGTGTTGGTGGAGATAGCTCGGCCATTATTACAGCGATTCCATGCTTATTTGATACAGTCAGCAAATCAGAAGAAAGTAAGCAATAACGGCTTAAATGGCTTGAATCAATCACTAATGAAAAAGCCATGTATGTAGGTTTTTACTACATTAATGGAGAGATCATTCAAGGATCTGCTAAGGGTGAAGCGTAGAATACAGCATATCAATAGAGAAGATGCTGATTTAATGAACCAATTGTTGACTGATATCGTATGTCATGCATTGTTCCATGGAGACACCATTTTAGAGTACAGTTCAGTCATACATCAACAAGGAAGAAACAATAAATACATTGTTAAGTTATTTGATACTTTAGAATCCATGATGAAGACACAAGAAGAGAAACAGGATGGTAAAAATAACAGGGAAAAGGTGGATTCAATATTCGTACTCACTAAGATTGCTTATTTAGCCACTGATGTCCTTCCTCTCTTATTATCTTCCTTCATCCAATCCATTAGACAGAAACAAGAGTCCACTAGAGTAGTTGAATTCGATATGTTTGTTTGCTTACTGAATATATTACAACAAGTGAATGACCCCATATTGTATTTACACACACTGCAATTACTATTGAAAGAATTAGTGCACTGGAAAGTATATGTTCAGTTGAATGATGAGATTGCACAGACACAACAGAAGAGATTGAATGAATTAGCAGTGGATATTATGACTTACTTGAAACAAGAAGAATGTAATAACTCTATGGAACGTAGATAATGATCTTGTCTTATTAACATAGCTTTATTTTATAGATCAACCACTGGTATTGGAAGTAGCAGATACATTGATACAGGTGGATATCACACTGATTGAACCACGCATGAATGACTTATGGCCTGTCCTACTTAATGTAAGTTGACATACATATGTACTCTATTCTTTTTCAACTCACTCTGTGTTCTAGCCCTATCCAACAGCATATGCTGCTTGTTTGAAACTTTCTATCTCTATTCTCCATGCTTACACTGCCACTAGACAACTGGATTTATTTATTGATGAATACATCCAACATGCACACACCACTGATATCTACTTCCAACTCAAACAACCTCTCTATTCACGCACATTCCGTAAAGAGTAAGTAAAGTTAATGGCTGATTGGATTATTCACTATTGCTAATAAACACATAGGTTTTCAACTGACATTTATAAACACATGCCTTCTGCTCAAGCCACTGGTATCTTCATTCGATTTCAACAGAATCTGACACCCTTGATTTCCATTTTATTTATTGAGTTCATCAATTCACTCCATTCAATCCAACCTCGCCATTTTGTCGCTCATCTACAAACACTCTACCAAGACACTATCCTACCTCAACTTATTCAAGCAGGACCAGAGGTATGGACATCTTTACAGCTCCATACTTCATTAATCAATACATTCAAAGATACTTATTTCATGGAAATCAAAGAACCCATAGATGAATATTACAAGGTGTTATTTGACAAGTATAAATATGAGGATAGTTTACCTGCACGAATGATCATAGTGACCACAGTAAGTGTTCAAAAGATAATAACAAAAAGTTTCCTGTTAACTAGTGTTATTTAGTGTAATGCCATAGCACAACATATCTATTGTCAATCATGGCACACACTCTCTACTTCTTCTTCCTTACTCGATATCATCATTGACTATATTACAGAAGATGACTGGTATCAAGAGGCTAGTTGGACTGGATCTATTTTGGATATCAACACCATCCAAACATCTAAGCTTGTGTGTTGGAAACTACTCACTGATGAATGGTTTGAAACTACATGGTATGTACATGTATTATATGCTTATGAACCTAAATTGACTTATATGACATCAGTCAATACATTGACTCGGATAGAGCCAAGAAACTGTGTAATCTTATCTACCGTTCCTTAGCTACTGAACACACATCTACAGACATCACAGCTCATTCACTAAACCAAGTCTTAATGGGATCAGCCAACTTTTACGAAGCACCTTGCTTCAAAGGTAAATACTATTATATGTTTTATTTTATTGAAAGCTCAAAAATCTTACCAAAAATCCTCTTCTTAAGCACATCATGTATCTACCCTTCTATCTTCCATCGTCGCTCTTTTCAGCTCTGTTCACCCTACCACTAGTCTCCAAACCAAGCTCACAGACCTCATCACACATATGGACATCAATGATCCTTATATCATCAAGAAAGAAACCATGGTGGACCTATGTAATGAACTTGTGTTTCCTCTTACCAACGAACCTTCTTCCTTTGTTGAACTACTTCAACGCCACATGAGTTTATTCTTGATGTTGCCTGAAGAATACTTTGATGTATTGCACCGTATACAATCTGTTCAAGTATGTTTGTTAATTGATATCTGGGCAACAACTTCTATCTCGAATGGTCATATCCAACTGTCTACTCAATGCAGAACATTCTATCAGAGGTTCATTGATGCAGCCAAAACCAAGAAGTTCCTGGTAAAAAAAATATCAGTATATATATATATTATGTATCCACTCATTTTCTTTTCCATCTGCTAGAAATATGATCCTCGCTTGATGGAATGGTGGATGGATTCTGCTCAGAATACGAACTCAAGTGCATTGAAAGCAGTGACATATAAATTAGATCAGTTGGTCTTGGCAGATGTGTTTTCTACTATGGATACTGGGGCTGAATGGATCTTGGATCATCGTACCAAGTCGTTTGAGAATAAACAGAAACTGATCAACTTGTTCACAGTATTAAACCAATACACAAAGTAATATAAATGATGAGAGAAAGAAAAAAACTCTATTAACTGTGATTTTTTTTCTTACATTAGGAAACATGATGTGAGCCCTGTAGTAGAAAAGACTCGTCAATGTGTGATCGCATCGCTTCAACATATCCGTCCTTCCGTAGATAACCCAGAGATGATCCGAGATGTATTCCATCTTGC